CAAGGTCGGCGAGGTAACTCCCAGCATCGAGGAGAATTGGCAGCCAGACTTCAAGCCCAATCCTTTCAAGTTCTTCAGGCCCTTTGACGATGAGCAAAAGTGTGTCTGGCTCAGATCCCAGATCATCGGCTCCCAGCTCCAAATCTCCACACCATTCGGCAGCAGGCTTCTCACTTATGCCGATTACACTGCCTCTGGCCGCTGCTTGTTCTATATAGAAAACTTCCTCATCAAGCACGTCATGCCGTCCTACGGTGAGTGAAGCCGTGAATTCTCTTCTGCATATCTGGACCCGCTGCATTCTGTTTCAGGGAACACGCATGCCGAGGACAGCTACGTTGGAGAGAAGACCACCCGGATGGTGAAACTGGCCACGAGTTATGTCAAGGAGTCCCTGGGAGGAACCGAGGATGATGCTCTCTTTTTCTGCGGCTCTGGAACCACTGCAGCTGTGAAAAAGCTCCACGAACTTTTGGGCTTGTCTGTGCCGCCCCACATGAGAGAGTCAGCCGTGGCAGCGATCGATGACAGGAAGAGATGGCTGGTGTTCATAGGCCCATACGAGCATCATTCCAACCTTCTTCCCTGGAGGCAAAGTCTTGCCGAGGTTGGGCTTTTTCGTTTCTTTCAATCTGTCAACTGTTTAAACCACAGGTTATTCAAGTTCCAATGACCGAGGATGGATTGATTGACATGAAGTACCTCGAAGAGGAGCTGCAAAATCCCAAGCACGCAGATCGTCCAATGCTTGGCTCCTTCTCCGCTTGCAGTAATGTCACGGGAGTTTTAGCGGACACTAGAGCCATCGCTCGCCTTCTACACAAACATGGAGCATTAGCATGTTTTGATTTCGCCAGCTGGTAAGACGAGATCTTTTACCAAGGACGAAACGAAGCTTACTTGCCGAATCTGATCAACAGTGGTCCATATGTGAAGATCAACATGCGATCGCGAAAAGCTGATGGATACGATGCTGTGATGCTGAGTCCACACAAGTATGTCGGAGGGCCAGGAACGCCGGGCCTGCTTTGCATGAACAAAAAGCTCTACAAGCTCAAGGATCACGCACCGTCGACAACAGGCGGAGGAGTGGTAGACTTCGTCAACTACAACAAAGAGGTCAGTTCCCTTTCCAGCGAAAGAAAAAAGAAAACCAACACTAAACAAACTCATACCAGGACACGCTCTACCTGGAGGACATTGAAAGCCGAGAAGACGCTGGAACACCTTCCATACTCCAGCGGATAAAAGCCGGGATTGTCTTCACTGTCCAAGAAGAAATGGGATACCGTCTCATCGAGTCGAGAGAGCACAACTTCATCACCACCGCGTTGAAAAGGTTGTCCAAGAACCGAAAGATAGTGGTGCTTGGGAACACGCAAGTGAAACGAGCAGCAATCGTCTCGTTCCTCGTCCGGACCACTGATTCCAACGGTGAAATCCAGCAAACCGTGCTGCAAGGCCGGTTTGTAGCCAAGCTCCTCAACGATTTGTTTGGGATCCAGTCGAGAGGAGGGTGCTCGTGTGCCGGTCCTTACGGCCACTCGCTTCTCAAAGTCAGTGATGAGCTCTCCCTGAAATTTCGAGCAGCAATTCAAGAGGTTGAGAAGCAAAACAATAGAAGTTTTCGCCAAGGAGCTTTTTCTAACACTTTTTTTTTTTTCTCACAGGGATATAGCGGTGTCAAACCTGGATGGACGCGCTTGAACTTCGCATACTTCCTCTCCAAGGAAGAGTTCCATTTCTTGCTGTGCGCCATAGAGTTCGTGGCGGACTATGGCCAACGCTTTCTCCCCCACTACGAATTCGAGTGGCAGACTGGGAACTGGAAATACGAAGAGAAGAACAGCATCAACACCACCGCCAAGGCCACATTACACAAGGAATGGACCAAACTCCCACTGCTCCAGCAGCACAAAGATTACCTGGGTACCGCTATGGCGATTGCCAAGCAACTGGCTCACGATCCAGGGCAGGGCAGCAGGGCGCCCGCCGGCATTGATCCCGAGCTCGCTACCGTCCGATTCTAGGGTTCTTGAGCGCTATGTACTAGTATATTCGTTTCGCATCAATTCAAACAAAAGTTTGTGTGGTGGGATATATATACTTTATGCAACCCATCTCCAAAGTCAACAAGTCTTTCAGTGACCTTTAGTATCAAGAGTTAGTCTCTGGGACAAACTTGAAATTTATTAAATATGGAATGTTCCTAAATTGCGAATTTGGACATGGGATGAACACCATTGTGTTCAGGACGATCTTTACATTCCGTAAATATGCCAAATGAGCAAATCTGGATACTTTCCATAAATAGCATTTTGGACCGAAATGAAACTAACGCTAAGGGCATGATAGCGAGGGTGTTTGGTAGACACGGTAAACTATCATCTAGCGATATTGAGGGACCAAGCTCAATATCGCAGGGGTTCCTAACTCTAGCAAGTGCCAGCCAACATCATGAGTTTCTCATCACCGTGTCAAGTCTGTTTGACTAAATGACAACTTAGGATTTCCTTCCTTAGTGCCCTTCCGGTCTAAGTGCACATGTGATGACCAGTTTCTCAACTAGCTTAGGCAGAGACTAATAACGGGTCCAACAATACTGACCTTCTGCCATCGTGGGGTAGGGTATCAAGAAAACAAACCTCTTAGGAAAGTTACAACTCTTGACTTCCATTCATGAGGAAGCTTACAAGGAAGTTTGGTCCAGTTTACCTTCGAATGGACTCGACTTGAGGAGTAGGGTGTCAAGAGGGCAAGCCTCTTGGGAGAGCTACAACTCTTGACTTTCGTTTATGAGGAAGTTTACAAAGAAGCATGGTGGATTATAAACAACCAAAGAGAACGACTTAAAAAACAATCTATAAAGGTTCAAATATACAAAGAAAAGCCCATGAATAAGAGTGCACCTTTCTTTTCCAATCAATATTGAGATTGATATTTAGACTTATCACACTACATGTTGAGATTCATGTCTAGTTTACCCCAACGTGAGTTTGACCCGAGGTGTCAAGAGAGTGGGGCTCTTGAAAGAGCTATGACTCTCAACTTCCGTTCACGAGAAAGCCTATAAGGAAGCATGGTAGTTGTAAATAACTAAAGAAAACGACTTGAGAGACAATGTTCAAATATAAAAAGGAAGTGCTTATGAATAAAAATGCACTTTTTTTCCAATTAGTTAAAAGTCTTAGGATATAACATCCTTAATTTTGAATAGTTGTAGCACACGTGGTTTTGACCCTTTATCCTATGGTGATTTACCATAGAATAACACCACGAAGCAGAACCTAAACCCTTTTTGTGCCACGTGACAGATGCCACGTGTCACATGCCACGTGTCCATAGGAACCCGAGGTTCAGTGCCTTGGGCCACTGAACGAAGGAACGGTGCCAAACTCCCAAGCATGATGCCATGGAGTGACGAAACCGTACCACGGAGCAACTCCCGAGCATAAAGCCCAAGGAGCAAATGGAGCCAAACGGAGTCTGGCGCTATTTCGGCATACCGGTGGTCTAACGTGAAGATATGGGTACTCCACCAACTAGCATGGAATGGAACTTGGGCTTAGACCCAAGCCGGACGCAGAACAAGGACAGGCACGCAAGCGGGAGCTAGACTATGCCTCAGGTTGGTCGGCCATGCCCGACCTACCCACTATCCCTACTATACATTTGGAACCCCTTACAGCCCCCCCCCTTGAGGAACACATGCTTTGAGGTTTCACCCCAAGCCTCCCTTAGTATCATGAGTTAGTCTCTGGGACAAGCTTGAAACTTATTAAATATGGAATGTCCTTAAATTGCGAATTTGGACATGGGACGAACACCATTGTGTTCAGGACGATCTCTACATTCTGTAGATATGCCAAATGAGCAAATCTGGATACTTTCCATAAATAGCATTTTGGACCGAAATGAGACTAATGCTAAGGGCATGATAGCGAGGGTGTTTGGTAGACACGGTAAACTATCATCTAGCGATATTGAGGGACCAAGCTCAATATCGCGGGGGTTTCTAACTCTAGCAAGTGCCAGCCAACATCATGAGTTTCTCATCACCGTGTCAAGTTTGCTTGAGTAAATGACAACTTAGGATTTCCTTCCTTAGTGCCCTTCCGGTCTAACTGCACATGTGATGACCAGTTTCTCAACTAGCTTAGGCAGAGACTAATAACGGGTCCAACAATACTGACCTTCTGCCATCGTGGGGTAGGGTATCAAGAAAACAAACCTCTTAGGAAAGTTACAACTCTTGACTTCCATTCATGAGGAAGCTTACAAGGAAGTTTGGTCCAGTTTACCTTCGAATGGACTCGACTTGAGGAGTAGGGTGTCAAGAGGGCAAGCCTCTTGGGAGAGCTACAACTCTTGACTTTCGTTTATGAGGAAGTTTACAAAGAAGCATGGTGGATTATAAACAACCAAAGAGAACGACTTAAAAAACAATCTATAAGGGTTCAAATATACAAAGAAAAGCCCATGAATAAGAGTGCACCTTTCTTTTTCAATCAATATTGAGATTGATATTTAGACTTATCACACTACATGTTGAGATTCAGGTCTAGTTTACCCCAATGTGAGTTTGACCCGAGGTGTCAAGAGAGTGGGGCTCTTGAAAGAGCTATGACTCTAAACTTCCGTTCACGAGAAAGCCTATAAGGAAGCATGGTAGTTGTAAATAACTAAAGAAAACGACTTGAGAGACAATGTTCAAATATAAAAAGGAAGTGCTTATAAATAAAAATGCACTTTTTTTCCAATTAGTTAAAAATCTTAGGATATAACATCCTTAATTTTGAATAGTACCTTCAAATATCTACAAGATCAACAAAAGACTAAGACTTCATAATCAAGCCCACTCAGGTGACAAATCCCTTAGAATTTGTTAAGCTTGACAACCAAACTATACAAATACTACGGGTAGTGAGATCTTGCTACCACAAAATTCACTACAAATTATAAGTAGTGAACATATCAGGAGAGTGCTCACCAATAAGACAATGAAGTGCTTTGCTTCAAAGTTGGCTTCCAAGATCAGCAACATAACTCCCAGCATCGAGGAGGATTGGCAGCCAAACTTCAAGCCCAATCCTTTCAAGTTCTTCAGCCCCTCTGACGATGAGCAAAAGTGTGTTTGGCTCAGATCCCAGATCATTGGCTCCCAGCTCCAAATCTCCACACCATTCGGCAGCAGGCTTCTCACTTATGCCGATTACACTGCCTCTGGCCGCTGCTTGTTCTATATTGAAAACTTCCTCATCAAGCACGTCATGCCGTCCTACGGTGAGTGAAGCCGTGAATTCTCTTCTGCACATCTGGACCCGCTGCATTCTGTTTCAGGGAACACGCATGCCGAGGACAGCTACGTTGGAGAGAAGACCACCCGGATGGTGAAACTGGCCACGAGTTATGTCAAGGAGTCCCTGGGAGGAACCGAGGATGATGCTCTCTTTTTCTGCGGCTCTGGAACCACTGCAGCTGTGAAAAAGCTCCACGAACTTTTGGGCTTGTCTGTGCCGCCCCAAATAAGAGAGTCAGCCGTGGCAGCGATCGATGACAGGAAGAGATGGCTGGTGTTCATAGGCCCATACGAACATCATTCCAACATTCTTCCCTGGAGCCAAAGTCTTGCCGAGGTTGGACTTTTTCGTTTCTTTCAATCTGTCAGCTGTTTAAACCACAGGTTATTCAAGTTCCAATGACCGAGGATGGATTGATTGACATGAAGTACCTCGAAGAGGAGCTACAAAATCCCAAGCACGCAGATCGTCCAAAGCTGGGTTCCTTCTCCGCTTGCAGTAATGTCACGGGAGTTTTAGTGGACACTAGAGCCATCGCTCGCCTTCTACACAAACATGGAGCATTAGCATGTTTTGATTTCGCAAGCTGGTAAGACGAGATCTTTTACCAAGGACGAAAAGAAGCTTACTTGCCGAATCTGATCAACAGCGGTCCATATGTGAAGATCAACATGCAATCGCAAAAGGCTGATGGATACGATGCTGTGATGCTGAGTCCACACAAGTATGTCGGAGGGCCAGGAACGCCAGGCCTGCTTTGCATGAACAAAAAGCTCTACAAGCTCAAGGATCACGCACCGTCGACAACAGGCGGAGGAGTGGTAGACTTCGTCAACTACAACAAAGAGGTCAGTTCCCTTTCCAGTGAAAGAAAAAAGTAAACCAACACTAAACAAACTCATACCAGGACACGCTCTACCTGGAGGACATTGAAAGCCGAGAAGACGCTGGAACACCTTCCATACTCCAGCGGATAAAAGCCGGGATTGTCTTCACTGTCCAAGAAGAAATGGGATACCGTCTCATCGAGTCGAGAGAGCACAACTTCATCACCACCGCGTTGAAACGGTTGTCCAAGAACCGAAAGATAGTGGTGCTCGGGAACACGCAAGTGAAACGAGCAGCAATCGTCTCGTTCCTCGTCCGGACCACTGATTCCAACGGTGGAATCCAGCAAACCGTGCTGCAAGGCCGGTTTGTAGCCAAGCTCCTCAACGATTTGTTTGGGATCCAGTCGAGAGGAGGGTGCTCGTGTGCTGGTCCTTACGGCCACTCGCTTCTCAAAGTCAGTGATGAGCTCTCCCTGAAATTTCGAGCAGCAATTCAAGAGGTTGAGAAGCAAAACAATAGAAGTTTTCACCAAGGAGGTTTTTCTAACGAGGAAAGAACTTTTTTTTCTCTCACAGGGATATAGCGGTGTCAAACCTGGATGGACGCGCTTGAACTTCGCATACTTCCTCTCCATGGAAGAGTTCCATTTCTTGCTGTGCGCCATAGAGTTCGTGGCGGACTATGGCCAGCGCTTTCTCCCCCTCTACGAATTCGAGTGGCAGACTGGGAACTGGAAATACGAGGAGAAGAACAGCATCAACACCACCGCCAAGGCAACATTACACAAGGAATGGACCAAACTCCCGCTGCTCCAGCAGCACAAAGATTACCTGGGTACCGCTATGGCGATTGTCAAGCAACTGGCTCACGATCCAGGCCAGGGCAGCACGGCGCCCGCCGGCATTGATCCCGAGCTCGTTACCTTTCGATTCTAGGGTTCTATGTACTAGTATATTCGTTTTGCATCAATTCAAACAAAAGTTTGTGTGTACTTTACGCAACCCATCTCCAAAGTCAACGAGTCCTTCAGTGACTTCGCAAGACTCTCTAAAGATTGATCACGTGTTTGAGACCAAGATTCTTGCATTGTCGTTCATCACAGGTAGATTGTGAGGTGAGAAGGATCCAATGGGAATCTCCAGACAAACACGAGGTAAATTTTCTTAATGATCTGAACATGAAGATATTGATAGGGGCAGTGGGAATCCCATTCATGGGTGTCACTAATTACATGACTAAGGCATTTGGCTGACTCAAAAGATAATTACGAAGCAATCAAATTGCTTACAAAGGCATTTCTTACAAAAGCATATTGTGTTCCAGTTCTCAATTTGCATTTGAACTCGCCCCACCCAAAAGTTAGGTGAAGGTTGAAGACAATTTGGGTGACACATAAAGTTTTTATAAAATTATGATTCTAATGCAGCTCCAGAAGATCATTTATAAATATGACAAGTGAAACGTGAATGACAAGCTCACAAAGCCATACTTTTAATTTTAAGCATTTATTTTTTTAGAGGTCCTAAACATCAGAGTTTTCCCATCTATGAGCTGAGTGAGTTTGATGATAGTAATAAAAATTGCTCGATAAACCAAAATCATGCTTAACAGGATTATAAAGTTCAACCATTTAGATCTTGAGAGATCTACTTGATACTGTTTAAGAATTGTTGTTCCTGATAGCTTTCCTTCAGAAATATCATTATTATCAAACTCAAGCCCTTGAAAATCATTTTCATAAAGACCCTGTTATCAATTTTTTTAGTTTCAAGAAAATAAATAATATTTGTTTACCTGAAGTAAATATGTTTGAAATGCTATATAATGCATTGGATATTTCCAAAAGCCTTTTGGCAGTTCATTAGCAAGTTTAAAAAATCCGTCAACAAGCATGAATAACCCCTGAAAAATCATATTAGAAACGGTTTAAGAAATATAAAGAGATTTTACCAAGATTCCAGATCCTGTAATTATTCCCATGAGAAAATTGGGAACAATTGAGGCTACACACATCATCAAGCTCTCCACCACAGTCACAGATGCAAATAAGTTCAACACAAAAAATATGAAGTGATCAAAGCCTGGGTGAAGTTTAACCATATTATAAAACACGCTTGTTGATATCAACGAAATAAGAAGGAGATAAGGAATGGAAGAGAGTGTGTTTGCGAGAGTAAACATAATGGGACCGTAGTAACCATTCTGTTTCTCATGATTAAAAACCTGAAGAAAATAGCATTGGATATGAAAACAAAACAATTCTAGAACTATCCCATACCTTAATCTCTTCAATGAAAGATGGAAAACCTCCAATTGACATGAATGTAAGAAATTTACCAATAAAAGCCATACAGCCAATCCTTGCCTAAAGAAAACCAAACAAGCTTAACCATGGTTAGGAATTTTTTTTGGTATTCTCTTACTGCAATGGAGTTGTATTTAATGCCGACATTAAAATATATACTGCCAATAACGATGCTAAGCATAAAGTACACAAAGATTCTCAGCCAATAATATCCAATATCTCTTGTCATATTTAGAAATGATCTTCTAGTTAACGTGGAAAGCTGATGGAGAACTCCTGCTTGAGGCATCTGGATGCATTCATTCTATAAATAATAATCCATTAGTAATCATAAGATTTTAAAAAATCAAGTCATTTACCTTTGCACCAGGTGTGTCACACAAACTGTTTAGAAGGTTCACCTTAGTCACACAAAGAATGTCAACTTTTGTGTGGAGGGAGCTTAAATGCAAATTTTGAAATGCATTTGTAAGTGCTTTGATTGCTTCAGAAGATGGAATTATTTCCTCAGTTTCAATATCTTCCTGTTCAGATTAAGATGACTATTAAGAAAAAAAATCTCTAGAAAACAGTACAAATGAATACCTTAAATTTGTTTTGAACATTGTCAAAATCGGAATTAATAACTCTAAGATAGTGGTCTGATGGATTTCTTCGGAGAGGACAAGGAAATCCAGCACACTCGAAGAACTAAAATAAAATATAAAACATAAATAATATCAAATTTGAGAAAAGTACCGTGCTAGCTTCCATGGCATCTCCAAAATATATAAGTGCTCCCTGAGATAGTAGGCAAAGATTATCAAACTGCTCAAACACTTCGCTACTTGGCTGGTGAATTGACATAATAACGGTGCGTTTTGAAGTAGCTAGGTTCTTAATTGTTTTAATCACATAAAACGCGGATGCACTGCAAAGAAAAACATCAAATAAAAATTACGATAAACCGAAATATTCACCTGTCTAAACCACTGGTTGGTTCGTCCATGAACAAAAGAGATGGCTGAGTTAGAATCTCCAGAGCAATGCTCACTCTTCGTTTCTCCCCTCCGCTCAATCCACGCGAGAACCAACCTCCCACCACTGTATGCTTGCAATCTCCAAGCCCCATCTCAGTGATCACACTCTCAACCATCTCCATCTTTTGGCTTTGCGGCAGCGAGTGAGGCAGCCTCAATTGAGCAGAGTAAGTGATTGTCTCCAAGACAGTGAGTGTTCCTAGCAAAACATCTTCTTGTTTCACATAGGCCTATGACAGAAAGTTTGAGAATCACAGAATCAAATGTTTATATACACACCGCAGTCCCATGTCTCATGTTCGTCTGGAGATTCCCATTCACAAAAATGGATCCTTCTCGCCTTGCGTTCTTGGCCAATCTACCTGTGATGAATGACAATGCAAGAATCTGGAGCTTTAATCTATTGCCCAAACCCAAATCAATCTTGGAAAACTATACCAGCAAGCGCATCGAGCAAGGTGGACTTTCCGGATCCTGAAGGACCCATGATCGCCGTGATTTGGCCACTCTGGGCATAGCCACACATACTCTCCAGCAACACCCGCCCATTGCTCACACTCACACTCAATTCCTTCCATGTGACATCCATAATAATATATCTGTTCTCCTTTCTCATGAAAACTTTGGATAAGATTTATAGCTCTCCAAGTTGGACTTGGACTTTCAGCTACTGTAACACAGTAAGATCTTAGATTCATAGGAGATTAATAGTGTAAAGTATTGTTTAGTTTCTTTCTTGTGTTGTTCCCATTCAAAGTCTGTCCAAAAGTCTCGAAATTCTCGAAACTCTCAAGTGTCATCTTCTCAGGAAATTTGGCATTCCAAGGACCACTCCCTTGTCTTTCCCAATGGCAACTCCCCATTAAGTTCTTCCATATCACATCTCAAATATCTCTAAGGGTCAACAAAAGACAAGGGCTTCATAATCAAGCCCACTTAGGTAGTGGGTCCCTTAGAATTTGTCAAGCTTGACAAAACATGTTGTTTCCTTGACTATATTTCTCCTAAATTGAATTGGAAAAATAGGACATAATCCACTAGGCACTTGTGAAGACGATGGGCAATCGAGATTTCAGTTCAAGGACTGATGAGGTGAAAGATTCCTCCTCCTCTGGTGAAGATGGCGCGATTCAAGCGGTGGGAGACACCAAGAAATCGAAGTGTCACAAGTGGAGACCCCAGAAACGCGAGGATCCTCTCGTCACCTGCGATCCATCTCGTTGGGCTTTATTATTTGGCAAGAAGCTGACTGCCAGCGACGTGAATAGCCTGCACAGATTGCTCATCCCGGTCAAGTACGAGTCAATGCTCCTGAATGAAAAGGTTCTCATAGAGGGATTTCAAGTTTAACTTTGTTGGTTAACTAGGGAAATCATGCCACATGTTAAGATTTTTGTTGGTTAACTAGGGGAATCATACCATATATTGAGATTAACATTTGGTAAGCCTCAATTGCACATGTCACACCATATGTTAAAATTGACATTTGGTAGGTCTAGTTTGCCTCCAAGTAGGTTCGACCCGAGGGGTAGGGTATCAAGAAAAAACAAACCTCTTAGGAAAGTTACAACTCTTGACTTCCATTCATGAGGAAGCTTACGAGGAAGTTTAGTCCAGTTTACCTTCGAATGGACTCGACTTGAGGAGTAGGGTGTCAAGAGGGCAAGCCTCTTGGGAGAGCTACAACTCTTGACTTTCGTTTATGAGGAAGTTTACAAGGAAGCATGGTGGATCATAAACAACCAAAAAGAACAACTTAAAAAACAATCTATGAGGGTTCAAATATACAAAGAAAAGCCCATGAATAAGAGTGCACCTTTCTTTTTCAATCAATATTGAGATTGATATTTAGACTTATCACACTACATGTTGAGATTCAAGTCTAGTTTACCCCAACGTGAGTTTGACTCGCGGTGTCAAGAGAGTGGGGCTCTCGAAAGAGCTATGACTCTCAACTTCCGTTCACGAGAAAGCCTATAAGGAAGCATGGTAGTTGTAAATAATTAAAGAAAACGACTTGAGAGATAATGTTCAAATATAAAAAGGAAGTGCCTATGAATAAAAATGCACTTTTTTTCCAATTAGTTAAAAGTCTTAGGATATAACATCCTTAATTTTGAATAGTTGTAGCGCACGTGGTTTTGACCCTTTATCCTATGGTGATTTACCATAGGATAACACCACGAAGCGGAACCTAAACCCTCTTTGTGCCACGTGACAGATGCCATGTGTCACATGCCACGTGTCCATAGGAACCCGAGGTTCAGGGCCTTGGGCCACTGAACGAAGGAACGGTGCCAAACTCCCAAGCATGATGCCATGGAGTGACGAAACCGTACCACGGAGCAACTCCCAAGCATAAAGCCCAAGGAGCAAATGGAGCCAAACGGAGTCTGGCGCTATTTCGGCATACCAGTGGTCTAACGTGAAGATATGGGTACTCCACCAACTAGCATGGAATGGAACTTAGGCTTAGACCCAAGCCGGACGCAGAACAAGGACAGGCACGCAAGCGGGAGCTAGACTATGCCTCAGGTTGGTCGGCCATGCCCGACCTACCCACTATCCCTACTATACATTTGGAACCCCTTACAGCCCCCCCCCCCCTTTGAGGAACACATGCTTTGAGGTTTCACCCCAAGCCTCCCTTAGTATCATGAGTTAGTCTCTGGGACAAGCTTGAAACTTATTAAATATGGAATGTCCCTAAATTGCGAATTTGGACATGGGACGAACACCATTGTGTTCAGGACGATCTCTACATTCCGTAAATATGCCAAATGAGCAAATCTGGATACTTTCCATAAATAGCATTTTGGACCGAAATGAGACTAATGCTAAGGGCATGATAGCGAGGGTGTTTGGCAGACACGGTAAGCTATCATCTAGCGATATTGAGGGACCAAGCTCAATATCGCGGGGGTTTCTAACTCTAGCAAGTGCCAGCCAACATCATGAGTTTCTCATCACCGTGTCAAGTCTGCTTGAGTAAATGACAACTTAGGATTTCCTTCCTTAGTGCCCTTCCGGTCTAAGTGCACATGTGATGACCAGTTTCTCAACTAGCTTAGGCAGAGACTAATAACGGGTCCAACAATACTGACCTTCTGCCATCGTGGGGTAGGGTATCAAGAAAACAAACCTCTTAGGAAAGTTACAACTCTTGACTTCTATTCATGAGGAAGCTTACAAGGAAGTTTGGTCCAGTTTACCTTCGAATGGACTCGACTTGAGGAGTAGGGTGTCAAGAGGGCAAGCCTCTTGGGAGAGCTACAACTCTTGACTTTCGTTTATGAGGAAGTTTACAAAGAAGCATGGTGGATTATAAACAACCAAAGAGAACGACTTAAAAAACAATCTATAAGGGTTCAAATATACAAAGAAAAGCCCATGAATAAGAGTGCACCTTTCTTTTTCAATCAATATTGAGATTGATATTTAGACTTATCACACTACATGTTGAGATTCAAGTCTAGTTTACCCCAATGTGAGTTTGACCCGAGGTGTCAAGAGAGTGGGGCTCTTGAAAGAGCTATGACTCTCAACTTCCGTTCACGAGAAAGCCTATAAGGAAGCATGGTAGTTGTAAATAACTAAAGAAAACGACTTGAGAGACAATGTTCAAATATAAAAAGGAAGTGCTTATAAATAAAAATGCACTTTTTTTCCAATTAGTTAAAAATCTTAGGATATAACATCCTTAATTTTGAATAGTACCTTCAAATATCTACAAGATCAACAAAAGACTAAGACTTCATAATCAAGCCCACTCAGGTGACAAATCCCTTAGAATTTGTTAAGCTTGACAACCAAACTATACAAATACTACGGGTAGTGAGATCTTGCTACCACAAAATTCACTACAAATTATAAGTAGTGAACATATCAGGAGAGTGCTCACCAATAAGACAATGAAGTGCTTTGCTTCAAAGTTGGCTTCCAAGATCAGCAACATAACTCCCAGCATCGAGGAGGATTGGCAGCCAAACTTCAAGCCCAATCCTTTCAAGTTCTTCAGCCCCTCTGACGATGAGCAAAAGTGTGTTTGGCTCAGATCCCAGATCATTGGCTCCCAGCTCCAAATCTCCACACCATTCGGCAGCAGGCTTCTCACTTATGCCGATTACACTGCCTCTGGCCGCTGCTTGTTCTATATTGAAAACTTCCTCATCAAGCACGTCATGCCGTCCTACGGTGAGTGAAGCCGTGAATTCTCTTCTGCACATCTGGACCCGCTGCATTCTGTTTCAGGGAACACGCATGCCGAGGACAGCTACGTTGGAGAGAAGACCACCCGGATGGTGAAACTGGCCACGAGTTATGTCAAGGAGTCCCTGGGAGGAACCGAGGATGATGCTCTCTTTTTCTGCGGCTCTGGAACCACTGCAGCTGTGAAAAAGCTCCACGAACTTTTGGGCTTGTCTGTGCCGCCCCAAATAAGAGAGTCAGCCGTGGCAGCGATCGATGACAGGAAGAGATGGCTGGTGTTCATAGGCCCATACGAACATCATTCCAACATTCTTCCCTGGAGCCAAAGTCTTGCCGAGGTTGGACTTTTTCGTTTCTTTCAATCTGTCAGCTGTTTAAACCACAGGTTATTCAAGTTCCAATGACCGAGGATGGATTGATTGACATGAAGTACCTCGAAGAGGAGCTACAAAATCCCAAGCACGCAGATCGTCCAAAGCTGGGTTCCTTCTCCGCTTGCAGTAATGTCACGGGAGTTTTAGTGGACACTAGAGCCATCGCTCGCCTTCTACACAAACATGGAGCATTAGCATGTTTTGATTTCGCAAGCTGGTAAGACGAGATCTTTTACCAAGGACGAAAATAAGCTAATCTGATCAACAGCGGTCCATACGTGAAGATCGACATGCGATCGCGAAAAGCTGATGGATATGATGCTGTGATGCTGAGTCCACACAAGTATGTCGGAGGGCCAGGAACACCGGGCCTGCTTTGCATGAACAAAAAGCTTTACAAGCTCAAGGATCACGCACCGTCGACAACAGGCGGAGGAGTGGTAGACTTCGTCAACTACAACAAAGAGGTCAGTTCCCTTTCCAGTGAAAGAAAAAAGTAAACCAACACTAAACAAACTCATACCAGGACACGCTCTACCTGGAGGACATTGAAAGCCGAGAAGACGCTGGAACACCTTCCATACTCCAGCGGATAAAAGCCGGGATTGTCTTCACTGTCCAAGAAGAAATGGGATACCGTCTCATCGAGTCGAGAGAGCACAACTTCATCACCACCGCGTTGAAACGGTTGTCCAAGAACCGAAAGATAGTGGTGCTCGGGAACACGCAAGTGAAACGAGCAGCAATCGTCTCGTTCCTCGTCCGGACCACTGATTCCAACGGTGGAATCCAGCAAACCGTGCTGCAAGGCCGGTTTGTAGCCAAGCTCCTCAACGATTTGTTTGGGATCCAGTCGAGAGGAGGGTGCTCGTGTGCTGGTCCTTACGGCCACTCGCTTCTCAAAGTCAGTGATGAGCTCTCCCTGAAATTTCGAGCAGCAATTCAAGAGGTTGAGAAGCAAAACAATAGAAGTTTTCACCAAGGAGGTTTTTCTAACGAGGAAAGAACTTTTTTTTCTCTCACAGGGATATAGCGGTGTCAAACCTGGATGGACGCGCTTGAACTTCGCATACTTCCTCTCCATGGAAGAGTTCCATTTCTTGCTGTGCGCCATAGAGTTCGTGGCGGACTATGGCCAGCGCTTTCTCCCCCTCTACGAATTCGAGTGGCAGACTGGGAACTGGAAATACGAGGAGAAGAACAGCATCAACACCACCGCCAAGGCAACATTACACAAGGAATGGACCAAACTCCCGCTGCTCCAGCAGCACAAAGATTACCTGGGTACCGCTATGGCGATTGTCAAGCAACTGGCTCACGATCCAGGCCAGGGCAGCACGGCGCCCGCCGGCATTGATCCCGAGCTCGTTACCTTTCGATTCTAGGGTTCTATGTACTAGTATATTCGTTTTGCATCAATTCAAACAAAAGTTTGTGTGTACTTTACGCAACCCATCTCCAAAGTCAACGAGTCCTTCAGTGACTTCGCAAGACTCTCTAAAGATTGATCACGTGTTTGAGACCAAGATTCTTGCATTGTCGTTCATCACAGGTAGATTGTGAGGTGAGAAGGATCCAATGGGAATCTCCAGACAAACACGAGGTAAATTTTCTTAATGATCTGAACATGAAGATATTGATAGGGGCAGTGGGAATCCCATTCATGGGTGTCACTAATTACATGACTAAGGCATTTGGCTGACTCAAAAGATAATTACGAAGCAATCAAATTGCTTACAAAGGCATTTCTTACAAAAGCATATTGTGTTCCAGTTCTCAATTTGCATTTGAACTCGCCCCACCCAAAAGTTAGGTGAAGGTTGAAGACAATTTGGGTGACACATAAAGTTTTTATAAAATTATGATTACTAATGCATCAGACTGCCAGAAGATCATTTACAAATACGACAAGTGAAACATGAATGACAAGCTCACGAATCCATACTTTTAATTTTAAGCATTTGTTTTCTTAGAGGTATTAATTTTAGTTTTCCCATCTATGAGCTGAGTGAGTTTGATGATAGTAATAAAAATTGCTCAATAAACCAAAATCATGCTTAACAGGATTATAAAGTTCAACCATTTAGATCTTGAGAGATCTACTTGATACTGTTTAAGAATTGTTGTTCCTGATAGCTTTCCTTCAGAAATATCATTATTATCAAACTCAAGCCCTTGAAAATCATTTTCATAAAGACCCTATTATAATTTTTTTAGTTTCAAGAAAATAAATAGTATTTGTTTACCTGAAGTAAATATGTTTGAAATGCTATATAATGCATTGGATATTTCCAAAAGCCTTTTGGCAATTCAAGACTGACTCTGAGACTGAGTTCGAGATTAACTCTAATACTGACTCCGAGACCGAATTCAAGACCAAGTCCAAGACCAAGTTCGAGATTGAGTTTGACATTCAAGATTAGGTCTAAGATTGAGTTTGAGACGGAGTCCAAAACTAAGTCTAAATACTAATACAAATCATAGGGTGAAAGCCCAAAGCATGTGTCTCTTGTGGGGGGGGCTTCAAAAGTACAGTAGGAATAGTGAGGCTTAGGAACTAATCTTAAAGAAACTCTTTAATGGTGCTTTCAAATTGACTTAAAGTTAAGTTTGGGGGTTAAGGGCTTTAGACATTGAGTTAGGTGGTGCCAAAAAAGCCACTTGAAAAGTGCTTAAGAGCAATTTTCACTTCCAGAAGGGAAATAAACTATAGTGCTTCCGACTCATGTAGAGTGGTGCCCCATTTGAGTACCTTGTGACTCATTGGTCCTCACTCCTTCCCAGAGGCTTGGGCCTTCCCTTCAAGATGGAAGTGGGGGAGTAAGTGTACTTATATTGAGCTGTTAGGCTATGGTGTTTCCCCCTAGTGTCCCAAAGCAAGTAATGCACCCAAGGCTTGGGATTTAGAGAGTTTCATAATCAAATTTTGTTATACCAAAAGATGTTAGGAATTTAGAGATTTGGTGTGCTTGGCTGTTTGTACTTGCAGGGAGCATAACTGAACTTTAAGTTCAGTTTAACCTAAAGAGGGGGATTGAGAGAAAATTTGAGAATCCATGGATGGATGATTAATGCTTTGTTGCTCATGTAGTGAGTTGTTTAAACCAAGTAGGAGTTGGTACAATAAGCAAGAACCTTGGTAAAGAAACTTAATTAAGGCTAAAGTAGTGGTGGTCAAATACACGAAGTAAGCTGGTGAATTAGAAAGGAAAAATTTGTGGCTTACAACCACTTCCTTAAATCTGTACTCTGGACTTTCTGGCTAGTAAATATCAAATTTATTAGAATTTAAAAAATTTAAATTCAGAATTAAATTTGAAATAAGATTCTATATAAAGTCATATAACCGTTTGAAAGAAAAGAAAACCATTAATAAACTTGTTGCATATAAAAGAAAGATTTGGATTTTCTTTAGAATACATTCCTAAGGGATTTATCTGTAAGCAACCAAAGGGAACAACTCGAAAGACAACCCATGGGGTTCAAATATAAAGGGAAAGGGCCTATGAACAAGAGTGCACCCCCTTTTCCAATCGATTAAGGGTCTTAGGATATTTGGGGTTAAGCGTCCTTAGGTTTAAATAGTACTAGGCTGGGTGACCTCCCGGGAAGTCCAAATTCAGGAGCTTATATTATCATAACATAGTTTTTAGAATTTATAAATTTATGGGTTTTAATATTGGTAATTTAACTTAGAGTTCAAATTCAGGAGCTTACATTATCATAGCATAGTTTCTAAAATTTATAAATTTATGGGTTTTAATATTGGTAATTTAACTTAGAGTTATAATTCAAGGGCTAGAAGCTATAATAATCATCCCATTGCGCAATACAACTAAACCATACAAGAAAAATAAAGAAAGGATAGTGAAAATAATAATTATGAGTTGAAGATAAATACAATGACAAATGGTGTAATAAATTGGGTGAAAAGGAATGTTCTCCTACTTGTTTTAGAAAATTGCAATTCTATGACTTTCAAGAAATGCTTTATATATTTTCTGGCTTGTGGTGGAAATAATGGCGATGATCAATATGATAGTATATATACTTTTGCAACACACTGCAATATCATGCACTCGAAAAACTACCATGAAATATTTTTTGAGATGGTAAAGATAGAAATGGAGACACACGAGTATTATAGGCAATATTGTAAAAAGAACACTTACAAGTATATCAAATGAAAATTTAATTTTTTTATTAATTATATAAATTATAATAAATTTATATTATCAATAGAGAATAAACATTAATATTCTTGAAAAATCTAATTAACTCCAAAAGTCTTTTACAACTAACAATAGTAATACTTTCTTGATGTATATAAATATCCACTTTATGATCCTGGTGTAAGATGTGAATAAAAATGTAGTACATATACTTGTAAGAAGCATATGCCTTCCCATGTTCCTCGGGTTTCGTAAAGTCTAGACATATGCAAGAAAGAAGATTTTGAATGACAATTGTATACTCTCTACTTTCTGTTTTTATAGTGTATTCCTTTACTAGTGTAATGATGAGAAAATCTCACACTTAAGCATTTGAGCTAGGCTTACTTTCCCCTATTTCTGCTTAGAGATGGTATTAATAAATTTAACTACTTTACTTTTTCTTGCAAGTTTCCTGTGCATCTTTATCTCTGTGAGAATAGTGTTAAGTCTATCACTCATGTATCCAACTTTCCTCCTCTCAAAATTGAAATTAGGTTTTTCAAGCTTTTCAATCTCATCCAAGGTGAGGGTGACCCCATTAGCAACTAGCCATTCTTTAAGTACTATATCAAGTTTTGTCACTATAGTGTCTTCAAGCTGTTTCATATGGTTAGCATCAAGGTTGCAGTAATACAACTAGCACTATCTTGAAAATTTTACTTGTTTGTGTTTGCCATAGAAACATGGGGCTAGAACAAAAAAAGATTTGTCACTACGGATCTAGGCTTGGCATTTTTCTCTTGGAAGCATCCCCATACACCTTATATTAAATTTTGCTGGCATGTGGTGATTTGCCTATTATTTTTATTCCATGCTACAGTAAGTGATTTCAACATATTATGATGCACTCTCTTTATCAACCATTGAAGGTGGCATTGTCCAAGGGCAATGTCTTGAAGCAGAATGCTACTCAAGATCAGGCCTATAGGAGTTTTTCACTCCAAGGTTCATGCCAACATCTTCACTAGCAAAGGAAAAGTGATGCTTTAAGCAAATGATCTTTATGTTACCAATAGAAACCTAGAGAGTGTACTTTATAGATATCCATGGATCACTTCCTCTACTAAAGTTGCCATTGTTCGTGCTAGTGGAGTCACTTTCTTTTTCATTCAATTGTGTAACATCTCAACTGAAGATTCTATTCCTATGTATCTTCCTCAAATGCCAAAGCTTTTGAAGATTGCTTTATAGCATATATCAAATTTGATAGATATACTTTATATAAACTCATCTTCCCTTTCCTTGCCTTAGTGGAATGCTAGGTCCAATGTTTACTCTCTAAGAGATTCATATTTGGGGTGTATTGAAATCCTCAAGTAATGAAAAAGACAATATTAAAAGAGAATAAAAAAAAAAATCAACATGAAGAGAGTGATGTCTCTATTAGAACATCTTAACTTCCCACCACCCCAACCACGACTCAAATTTGGGTAGACAACTTGTATTCGTATGGCCATCTTCACACCACCACATTCAAATTTCATTTACTTTTGCCTCATGCTCTTCTTTAGAAAGTGCAACCTGCCATTGTTTACAAAACTTTTTAAACACTAATTGGAAATCTTGTTAAACATGGCGGGATTTGATATAATCTTCAACTTAATAAGATGGCAATGTTAGTTTAGACTTTGAGCCCAATGGAACTCACAAGTCCTCTCACGACCCTCTAGGGGCTGACCATTCCCAAAAACTACACTATTCCAATTAGCCCTAGTTTTATTTATCATGAAACTGTAGGTTTATCAATTTGCTTTAATACAATGTTAGAGAGGGACTTCTAAAATATTTTCTAGGCCATTTATTCTTGTACTTTAAACTTTATTGTTGCAATTGTCAAGTTAGAATGTAGCCTATGAAAAAAGTAATGCTTAAAAACCATTTTAAAATAGTGAGAAAAAAATAACTACCTCAGATCATATATATGAGCTCCTATGGTTGTCCAACCCAATATCCGCTTCATATAGTCAAAATGTACTCATGCATTAGCAAGGTCATTTGACCCAGACATATCCATTCAGAAGATAAAATTTACATAAGAAGTGGGGCCCATAATAAACATTTTAAAGATGAAAGGGCACTCTTACTCATTAATAATTTGATCTGGAAATAAACTCCTATGGATAAACTCATAGAGGTAGGTTTGTTTTAGTTTAAGATAGAGTCAATTTTTTACTGTAGCTTCCCCTTTCTAGATTCACATATCTAAGATTTTATCCTAAATAAAACAAAATATAAGAGAGATATTATTGAAAAGTATTTTTCTACCTCCTGAGACTAGTTGTAGGTTGCACATATCATAATAACTCCCATAAGCTAACCTTATTCAATTGAGTCTTCTTGTAACCTAGATCGAGTAGGGTGTTGGTGATAAAATTTTTAAGCATTGTCTATTGAACATGTTTCAGAATTGCAGATGAGTTTCTCATAGTCTTTCTCTACACAACATTTTTGAAACGGTTGACTGAACTCCTTTATATCCCTTCATGCATTGAATATGCATATGTGCTAATATGTACTACAACTTTATTAACCTCTCCATCCTGTAAAAGAAAGTAATAATAACCTTGCAAATGGTATGACATAATGGAGCATTCTTGCAAAACTAGCACATGAATCCTACACCAATGGTGTCACCAAATGGGAGGATTAATTGTAAATCCTTCAAAAAATGTGGAATTTTTCCGTGCTCTCAATTGCATACTAATCTAAATAACCACCATAATGAACCATAGACATTGTGCCTTCGAAATGCTAAAAGTGTGTAATCTTGATTTTGCACTAGTTATGGATGTTTTGCTTGGTCTCCATCCCTTTTTCTTTTGAGCTGATAAGAGGTGGTAGTTCAAAGAAGATGTTGCTATTGTATATGGATGGGAGCTTGTTTATGGGCCTATATAAAAATGAACACACATCGATAGAGTGGTAGGAAAACTAAAAAGAGTTGCAAACAGCTTTACATAATAGTGAAGTCAAAGTTGACTGATTTGTGGCTAGCACTAGACTAGAACTATAATAGGAGGAAATGATAATGAATGACTCTTGCTTCTTTGGCATGATCGTAACTTCACACTTTGATTGGAAATCTAAAAACTTGAA